TGAACTCATGAGTGAAGCCCTGCAAGTCCCATGTCTGTCAGCTGATTTCCAGCCTGAGCCCTGCTGAGGCAGAGGAGGAGGTGGTGACAGGGTAAGTAACCATCACTGCAGAAAAGACACCATCATAGTGCTGATTTGGAGAGCTGTGTCATGGGTAAGCAGACAGGTCACTGGAAAAGGATCACTCGGGCCCAACCTTCTAGCCTTTCCCACCACAGATACACAATATAGAGAGGCCTGTTGCCTTAGTTCTGAAGGTACTCTGCGCAGCCTATGCAAGAAACTTCTGATCAGCTCCACTCTTAAACTGCAAATATTTGCTTTCCTCTTTCTTTATTTTTGACCATATAATCAGCTGAGGGGGAGGGGTTGTCCTGTGTTTTGGGGCTTTTTGGTTGGGTTGGGGGGGGGGGGTGTTTATGTTTTTTTTTTTTTAAACTTGCCTTGAGTTACTCCTTCCTTGTTAATTCTCTTTAGGAGTTGTGTTTGGACCACAAAGCCTGAGCAGTAATACCAGCACACTGGGCTTGCTGCTTCATTACCAAGGAGACACCAAAAAGGTGCAGAAAGCTGGTTTTCACTCATGTTATTTTGCAGAGACTTCCAAGACCTGCAGCTTCACCCTGAGCATGGATGCTTCTGAAGAAAAACATTCAAATGCTCCATTTGTGCTCCTTAACCTAGACCAAGCCAAGTGCATGCTTGAAATCAATGCGGACATCAGGAAGCGCTCCAAGACCTCTTTCTACTAGCTGCTTTTACACGGCACTGACTGAAGTGCTACCATTAAAAAAGACATGTGGAGTTATGGTCAAAAACAGGAAAAGACTGAGGCTACTGATCAGTAACATGAGCCTTTGGAGTCACATAACCCACACTTACTTTTGCTTCCTAACTGCATGCCCAGACTTTCTATTCACAGTGTTTCTCTTTGGACTGGGGATGGTCAGAGAAACTAAGGCAATGGAGATGGATCTCTGATCACTACCACCCTGTGTGGTGTGAACTCACTCTACAGACACTGCTAGAATAAGACTATCTGTGGTCTTAACAGCTGTAGACTCAGAGCCACATTTAAACAAAATTGCTGTGTATCTCAAAGAATGAAGGCTCCTGCAAAGCAACTTCTTATTCCTTTGCCTTCAGCAAGAGCATGGTTCTAGGATAAGAATTCCTTGGGTTTTCAGTGAACTGGGAAGTGGCTGGTTCTGTAAGAACTGTATCTCCTGATGCTAAACAAGCATTTTTGTAACCTCTGACTCGGAAACAGTGACTGGAAGGACTTTTCTACTTCCTGATAATTTCATTTTTCCATGTATGATTTTTGGTGGCAGGTTTAGTCTTTATTTTGCAGTTGACTGAAGAAAAAAGAAAAAGCCACTCACAGCTTAGTCTTACGACTGCAGGCTCTTGTTCTTGTGGGCTGGGCTGGCACCGCAGCAGAGGCACAAGTGATCCAGGCTACCTCTGTAGTACACCAAGGACAGCTTCTTGACAGAAGTGCTGCACAAGCTGAGTGGGGCTCTGCTAGACAAGCTGCTCATACATGAGGAAGGGCTGGCTGGGAACACTGACACTGGTGGCAGCCTTGGCAGCAGTGACTGAAAGCAAAGCTGAAGGTTCTAAGGGAAGTGAGGAAGTTGAATCATGACCCTGGGATTCAGGGGAGCAAATGTTGTCTCCTGTAGACATTTTGTTGGCAGAATCCCACAGAAGACTGCCCTAAAGGGCCCAAGGGAGCCAGCTGAAGCACAAGAACAGTCCAGTCCGACATGCAGGAAGTTGAGCAGACATGGGAGAAGGTCAGCGTGGCTGAATGGGGAACTCCTGACTGACATCAAATCCAAAAGGCAAGTATAGAGACAGTGGAAGCAGGGGTGGGCTGCACTGGAGGAGTACAGAAATGCTGCCTAGGCATGCTGGAGCAGAACTAGGAAAGCCAAAGCTCAGCTGGAGCTGGAATTAGTGAGGGATGTGAAGGACACTCTGTACCTTGACGTGGAAGGAAGGCTAAGTAAAATTGTGCCAAGTGACAAAGGACATGGAAACAACTAAGGTACCACTCGGTGCTGCCTTTGCTTCAGGTTTTAACTCAAAAGGTCTGTGCTCAGATCCTTGGGCAGAGGCTAGGGACTGAGGTGCTACCCACATAAGAGGAAGCCTGAGCTAAGGACTACTTACCCTGGATCCACGCCAATCTGTGGGGAAAGCTGGGCTTGATTCAAGGCTGCAGGCTGCTATCACTGCAAGGCTGCAATCACCCTTGAAAGATCACAGGGAACAGGGTTTCTAAGGACTGGGAAAAGGCAAAGACAATGCCCATTTTCAAGACAGACCCAGGGAGCTACAGGCTGCTCAACCCAACCTCAACCCCAGACACATTATGGAACAAGCTCTCCTAGAAGCCGTGTCCAAACAATGTGGATTTACCATGAGGAACCAATGTCTGACCAACCAGCTGGCTGCCTGTGATGAAATGACTGGCTCCAGGTACTGATCAGAGAGCAGTGAGTGGTGTTCGCTTTGACCTTAGCAAGGCTTTGGCACCATCTGCTTTTGTATTCTTACAGTAAATTGGAGAGATAGGGATCCACGGCATGGACTGTGAGGTGGGTGGAAAATCAGCTCCACAGCAGGGCCTGGAGGGCCGGTGAGCTCTTTGAAGTCCAGGTGGTTGGTTGTTGCCAGTAACATTCCTCAGGGGTTAATACTGGGCCAGATAATGCTGAAGGATTTCACTGCCACCCTGGATGCTGGGATGGATTGCTAACTCATGGGTAACAACAGATAGGGGGTAGGGAGGTGATTGATACAGTAGGGGCAGGGCTGTCCTTCAGGGAGCTCAACAGGCTGGAAAATGGGGCTGACAGGAGCCTCGCTGTGTTCATCAGAGACAAATGCAGTGTCCTACACCCGGGCAGGAGGCACAGTCCTGTGTCACCAAGTGACTGCAAGAAGAGGGGCCAGTGGATGAGCTGAACATGAATCAGAAAGGGGTCCCTCACTGTGCTGGCACCACAGCCTCACACAGCAGTGAGAACGTGGGCAGCAGTCAGAGGAGCTCACTGTCACCTGCTGCTCCTACCCCTTGTAAGCCTGCACCTGCACAACTGAGGCCAGTTTGGGCCCCCGTGGTAAAGATGCAGCACACTGGAGTGAGGCTGGGGAGTGATACCAACACGATCAGGAGCTGAAGCATACAATGTATAAGGATATGCTTAAGAACATTAAGAAGGCGAGAGGGGTCTGAGTGCTGTCTTCAGCTACAAGATGGGTAATTGTAGAAAAGATGGAGCCAGATGTAGATAATAAATACATGGTTCATTACCAGAACATTTTTCAAGGAAATAAATTGGGCTTGCTTAGTGAAACAGATTTTTTTTTAAATACTCTTCCTAGTTGTAAATTAAATTGGGGTTTGCTCTTAGTGATTCTTTTGAACCATTCCTCAGAGAAACATACCTCAATCTGCAATTCCTGTGTTTATTCATAGAATTCCAGCCTTCAACATACGTATTTAATACTGGTTATCTTTGTTGACCACTAAAGGAGAAACTTCCTTTGCCAGATGCTGTTTTCCCTGTCCCAAACTGCCTTCCTACCTTTCTCTCCAGTCTTTCACTTGCTTCTTCCTTTCCTGTCTCTCTTCCCACCCTTAGGTTCCCATTTTCTTCTTCTCTGTTCCTCCTCTCTGCCCAGCTCAAGCTTTACTTTCTTCTCCACACTTCAATCTGCACTTTCTCCATCACTCTTTAGGACAAAACCTTTGCAAATCCTATTGAAGGGCATAGAAAAGGCAAGTGCAGGGACGGATGCCGTACCTATGAATTGCACTCCTTGGGACATGCAGGTTTCCATCACTGCCAGGAAGCTGTCAAGCAAGGTAAGTTACGAACCTACAGTTCCTCCAGCACTCATTAAGGCTGGAAGTGGTTAATCAGTTTAAAACACTACAGGGCATAGCAGAACACGGCTGCGCAGTCTCTGCAGCTTTGGATGCTGCCTTTCTCCCACACTTTCTCTAAGGAATCAGAAAAGGTGAATTCTATTAATGTCTCGTGGTATTTTAGTTCTGGCAAATAGTTCAATACACGTAGTGCTAGACTTTTCACAGGAATGCTGCTTTTCTTTGCTATATGCTCATTTATCATTGTCTATTTTTATTTGGTGGCAGATGGCAATGTCTTTGTGGAGTTGCTTGATTTACTTTTTTTAGTGGGACACAATTATCTTTCTCCTACTCACACAGGGTAGCACCACAAAAGGCTCTTCGGTGTCTCTTCATCAGGCTGTGCTGCGAGTCTCAACAATGACTGTTAAATGTAACCTTTCTTAGTTGCTAGTGAGTGGTTTTGCGTTATCGTACCAGTGGTCATGACCGGGCTTGGAGCAACCTGCTCTAGAGGGAGGTGCCCCTGCCCGTGGCAGGAGTTGGAACTGGATGAGCTTTACGGTCCCTTCCAGCCCAAACCGTGCTCTGATTCTACGGTTCTATGACTCCGCTGAGCACGCACAATCAATCACGAGGTGACAGCTGAGCAGCTCGCTGTCCTCCCGCAGGTGCTGGGATTGACCAAGTCCGCCCTTAGCAAGGGAGCCCAGGCAGGGGTCGGTGGATGGGTGGGAGCGGAGGGTGCTGCGTGCACCACCGCCTGCGGCGGGAAATGCGGATGAAGGCGACAGACTTGCATAAACTTTAAAAACAGCAGCGTGCGATTCACATTCCCTCTGCAGGAGCGCGGCTGCGGCGCACGCCGGTAACGCGCTGGGGGAGGTGCTTTGCTGTCCCGGTGCTGACTTCTGCGCGAGTCAAGTTTCTGCTTCCCACTTCCCACCCTCTGGAGCGGGGCTGCGCCGTCAGCAACGCTTAGTGCCCCCAGGGCCTCGCCTCACTCCCCGCGAGCCGAGCCGAGCCGCAGCTCCGGCTCCTGGTTGCCCGTTTCTCCGTGTGCGATGAGCTCCGGCTCCCGCCCGCCCTCACCTCAGCTCAGGCAGGCCGGGGCGGGGCGGGCTAACGGCCCGGTGTCCCAGCAACGCGGCATGGCGGCGGGCGAGCAGCAGGGCCGCGACTACCTGCAGCGGCACCGCATCGCCGAGCTGCTGCACCGCCTCAGCGCGCTCGTGCTCTACCACAGGCCCGGTGGGCGCTGCGGGGCAGGGCGGCTGCAGAGCCCTCGGGAACGGCGGCGGGAGGATTCGGGCGGAGGGAGGGGACTCGAGGCCTTCAGGCAGGCTGCGGCTGAGGGCCCTGTGTCCGTGCGCTGCGTTGGTTCTTTGCAGACAGGCCACGCGAGTTCCTGATCCAGGCGCTGGAAAAGGTGAAGGCCGGGCGGCGAGCCGAGGGCGAGTACCCGAACCTCATGGACGAGGACAACGTGGTCGCCATGTTCGGCCTGCTGGATGTGGTGGGACAAGGCCACATAACGGCAGCGCAGCACAGGGAAGGCGCGTACCGAGTAACTGTCTCTATCTGCACTGAATCGTTAACACAGTTTCAAAGCTACACCCAGGTTTATTTTGCATGCGCCTGCACATCTCCGTATGTGCAACCTGAAAGTTAGGAAAGTTACATATTTTTAAGTTACCTGTTTACCTTTTATTATACCTAGGTCACTTCAAGCTGTTAGGCAAGTCTTTGAGGTTAATTTGGGAAATTCTCTTTCCTTAACTCTAGCTCTTAAAACTTTGGGACTGCCCACTGAGGATCTACAGATTGAAGACAATGCAATTATCACACTGGATGTATTCACGCAGGAAGTGTAAGTTTAACTGAAAGAGCTCCTCTGGGTGGGGGATATGCACAGGGGATAATTAACTGAGATTCATTTTGATAAAACTATGTAATTTAAAGGATTAAAGGGGTCAGTCAGTGACCAACGTGACCCAAACCCTGCTCTGCAGTTTCCTCAATGCAGACCTCTCACTCACCTGCCCCTCAGGTCAGAGAGATGCCATCAGGTGGCCCAGGGGGTCAAATCCTGATTTAGAAATGTGAAACAGTAAGGCAGCATTGCAGGGGTGGTACCACAACTGTAGGTGAAACAAGCTTGGAGTTATAATGATTTCTCAGGTCAAGGCATGGTTCTAGGGGCAATTTCTTGGTAACTGTTGCAATCTCTGAAAGGAATCAACATAATAATCCTCAGTGTTATGTGACTAACATTTTCTTTTTTTCTGTCTTAGTAAGAAAAGGATGCTGGAGAGCTGGGCTGTGCATTAGCTTCAGTCTGCTACATGTATTAAAAAAGGCATTGTGCTCACGTCTTTCCTGGTTTGGCAGCAGTGGAGAGCTGATTTAGGCAGTACCCTCTTTTTCTCACCCGGCCCTATCAGAATAACCACCTGAAAAGGACCAATGGCAAGAACTTGTTCATGATTACCACCTCATGGAGGGGTGGCGTTTGTGAATTGCTTTTATTAATACACCACCACATTTATGTAATTTTTAGGGAGAAAGTTGTAAAAAAATGATTAGGATGAATAAAGACAACCCATTAACGTAGTCCTTTGTTCCTACCTTCTCTGTTCAAGTTTATACACATTTGAATACAGAACACCTATTACCTGGGCTGTAGATTTGTAAAACATCTGTGTTCAAGTGAAGGTAGATCAGTTCACAGGGAAGAGCTCCCACATCATTCATACACAGGTGTACTTAAAGCACACACATTGGCAGGGCAGACATACTCCTTCAAGATGAAGCCAGTTTTAGCTTTTAAGTGTACTGGGAAAGTGGCTGTAGAAACGATCTGTACAGTTGGAAACCAAGGGAATCCCATTCTGATGTGGTTTTAAAGGTGAATACAACAAGGCATGAGATGAAACCAGTCACTCAGCATACAGTATTTTGAAAACAGGAAGCATATTACAACATACTTGTTTTGCTTTTGTTTGAAACAAGCAGCATAGACCAAGCTCTTAACCACTGCTGAAGAAGTCTTTATTTTCCTGTGTTTGGCCAACTAGCTCTCAAGTTGAGAAGAATCTCAACATCTTGTTGTGCTAATCTGTAAACTCCAAGTTCATTTAGTGCTGCTGTTGCAGAGGGCTGGTTTGGCTTGAATGTCTCATTGTCTGCAGCCGACTGCAGTACATCCTTCAGAAGCAAGGCAGAACCAACATTCAGGTTCAGGATAATGCAGGCTTCTTTTATGCTAGAGGGAAAAAGAAGTTATATGGATTAATATAAGAAGCACCCATGAAATACACTTTATTCTGTGCACACAGTGATTAACAAAAACATCCCCATGGACTTCTGAAAAGGCTCAAAAGTATTGAGCTGAAAAGTATGGCTTAGATCAAGGCAGTGTACTTGTTCACACTGTCTAAGCCTTTTCCCTCATGTATGTGTATTTCCTAAGCATCAGTGTTTTGCCTCCCAGTTCTCTGCATGGCTTTTGACTCTTTCTTCCACCAGCATTACAAATAGAAAATAGAATTTACCACTTAACCTGTCTACCTATCCCTATCTGCGTTTTCCCCTAAGACAATTAGCACCTTCTTACTCAGCCTATTTTAAGAGCACAGTTTAACAGACAGTTGCTGGAATCTGAACATTTTCCCTAATTAATACCATCAGGGAGCAAACAGATCCCCTGTCTTTGTCACATTGTTTCTAATCTAAATATGACAGAGCCGCCGTGTACCCATTGTGCATTACTTTTTATGGTTCCTTTGTGCATCTGTTTCCTCTTATGCTGGGAGTAATATGTACCAACTACCTTTATAAAGGTGATGTGCTCAAGAAAGACTTAAACCTGGAGATGCTACGTGAATGTTCCAATTAAAAATGCCAATATGGAATCTTTGCCTTCCAAGTGTTAAAGACTGAATGCCATGCTCCATACTGATTTGAAAACACTAAGATTTATGCCCCAGTTAGCCCAGAAGTTTAGCACTGGACTCTCTAACTGACTGAGTGCTATTTAAAAATGACTATCCACAAAGAAGGCAGCTGCTTCTCATCAATGAAAGCAACTAGACTGCTATGCAATTCTGAGCAGGACTGTAGTTTAAAGTAGTCTTTCTTCTACCAATAAAGTTTAGCGTCGTAATTACATCTTTGAGTAGTTTCTTGGGCCCTGGTTTCAGAAGTCTGTGATATTTATATTACTTCCATAAGTTATCTAGACATCCTAACTGCACAGAACACCACATGCCACAGCCCGCTGCTGCCTGAGTACATGGCGCAGAATCAAAACCTTCCTGGTTGTAAACACTGGGAAGCACAAACGATCCAAATGTTTTAAGTGTGAATCAAATCTAACTGAAAAACTCTTGGTGATACATAGAATGTGTATTCATCTGCACATTCACTTTTGAAATACCAACAGAAGTTTGCCTACTTACTGCTTGAAGTAGTTTTCTGGCCTCTTGCAGTAGTGTGAAAATAAAGGGAACAGATTCCTACTCATGTCAAATTGGAGCTGGGCTGCTCCTCCTTCATTGAAATGATTTGCCATAATTATCTGCAAACACAGAGAGGTGCACCCACTGTTTAAAGCAGTCACTGACACCCACCTGCACTGCAGAGCTCACGTTTTGCTGATACCTACTTCCTGATAGATGTATATATCCACTTTCTCCGCAAGCATTTGCCAGAAAACCTTGAACAGTGAGTGGCAGAGCTGCTGTTCCAGTTGTAGTAAGCGGTCTCGCAGGGTCAGCAACATTGGGCAAGCTGTGCTTGACAGGGACATCACTGCTTGCTCTGCTTGAGATGGCAAAGACAACCACCTGAAAGAAATCATCACAAGTCATTACAATGAAGTTATTCATATTACAACAGCTGCAGGTAAAATTATCCTTTAAAAAAAATCTTTCCTACTTACAATGGTTCAGAGATTTCTCCTTTCCCATTTCAAATCTAACAGCAATCACAGTCTACTGCTATGTTTAAATTTCATTTAATATTAAACTCATGCTGGAGTTATCAATCTCTGAACATGCCATTCACAGAAAACCCCATCTAATCTAGAAAATCATGGAGGATTTATATGCCTTTAATGAAGTACTTCAGAAATCCTACTCCAGAGCAAATGTTCAAGAAGCCCTGTGAGCCTGGGATGACAGAACAGTTATTACAGGCCTCTTTGTACTTAACTCTTTAGTACTACTACAAAGAAAGTAATTCTTGTCCAAACTAGAGGGATCCAGAATGCTTCCCAGGGTATTTAAGCTAATGCACCTACTAACTCAGGAACTACTTTAGAAAACACATTAAAATAAAGTAAGTGTTAAACAGAAACATTACCAAACTTGCTACCCTGTGCCACTCCTACTCAGGAAAATAAGTGTGCCTGTTACCTACTCCTGCCTTTATTTACCTCGGTATTTTTCACAGGAAATAATACTGTAATATGGGAAGAGAGTAAACAGATGGAATCACCTCTCTTTTTTGTACAGCTTTGCAGCATCTTTGACCTCTCTGAAGACATGATCTACCTGGCGAGTCAGCATGTCATGCTTCAGGCGTTCCAGGAGGTTAATCATTTCATCAAAGACAGAGCTCTCCATCGAAGCCAGCTGCCCTAGCTGGAGCTTACTGACAGCATTGCTTTCCACGCGAACCTCCAGCTCGGCCTGCTGGAGCTGCAAGAAGAACTAGAGAAACAAGTAAGTTCTGAATACCTCAGAAAACAACCCTACCATTGGAACTTTCCATTGGTACTTTAATAGACACAGCTCTAGAAAACACTCTCTGACACATTTATAAACTTAAAAGTCTAAAGATTTTAAAAACACTTTCTTATCTTTTCCCTTGGCTCTGATTTAGTGAAAACCAAAATATGGTGGTTTAATCCTAGTGGTTTGTCCTAGTGGAATTGATATGAGTTTCAGGTACAACAGCCAATAGGTAATGGGAATAGAGCTAAAGAAATACTAAAAAGGTATTTTAAGATTGACAGCAGAATGCTTTTAAAAGAAAAACAACCGATTCTGTCCTTTTCAATGTTTGCAAATGTAACCTAGAAGCTTTGATTATTTCTAAAACAAATTACAATTATTCATTAAATCATAAATTTGCTGGGCTGACAACAGAAAGAAATCAGAATGTAATGTGACATAATGGTAACAAAACTATGGGCCGGTAACTTCTTGGGTTTGCTTTTAAGCAGATCAAGACACTTAGGTAGACACAGCTGTACAGCATGAAGGCTGCTGTCCTGCCAAGTCAAGATTATCCACTGCTAGAGCCAAAGCTGCCTGTGAAGACAAAAAGAATTTGGAGGCTGCCATCTTGCGTTGCACAATACCTATTTTTACACACATCATATGTAACAGGAGTTTTTGACCTTTTGTACCCATAACCATCGAAAAGCTGAAATGCAACAGCATAGCTATGCTGCCACGAGGCTATTATCACAGAATCACAGAATGGTTTGGGTTGAAAAGGACCTTGAAGCTCATCCAGTTCCAGCCCCTTGCCAGGAGCAGGGACACCTTCCACTAGACCTGATTGCTCCAAGCCCCATTCAACCTGGCCTTGAACACTGCCAGGGATGGGGCAGCCACAGCTTCTGTGGGCAAGCTGTGCCAGGGCCTCACCACCCTCACAGGGAAGAATTTCTTCCTAACATCTAATCTAAATCTCCCCTCTGTCAGTTTAAAGCCGTTCCCCTGGTCCTATCACTCCATGCCTTTGTGAAAAGAAGTCCCTCACCAGATTTCTTGTACCAAAATAACCAGTTATCAGTGAGTGACTTTTTTGAACAGCACCTGTAATGTGTTGCAAGGCAGATACCCACTCTGGATCCATTTAAGCTAACCTGCCACAGGGATGGTTCAAGCATCATGCATAGGCTGCTGCACAAACCTCAGCATCAATGCTTTTAATACTTGTCAGAGATCTCCAAAGGCAACTTACTATTTTTTCACAATACAAAGCATGTAAAGGATATTACTTCTCTTGTCTGTTCAGATTATTCCATTCCCCAGGCTCTCTTTGCAATTCCCTAGAAAGTCTGTAATTAATGCAGCTTAGATCTCCAACAATAATCTGTCTTTATTTACACATCTTTTACGAAATCTGAATGTATATCTCATTCTGTTTTTGCAGTAATGAATTCTTATGAACACACTTGGAGAAACAGTGCTGAAAATAAAATATTTGTTATGAAACAAACATCCAAAGTCCATTTTTTTTTATTTTTCCAAGTAAAACAATTACTCACTACATTGTCAGCCCAGTCTGCCAACACTGTTGCTATATAGTTAACAGCATTGAGGATCGCACAGTATCGGAATCCTAAGGAAGCTCTAGTCTCTTCCTTCATCACTTGAGTTAATCGTATCCTGAAATCATCAACTAACTCCTTCTGTAGGCCCAGGAACTGCAGTTTCCTGGAAGCTGTTGGAAGGTTCTTATACCTGTCTGGAAAGACATTAATAAAATGTTTTTAAGTTTTCCAACACTAAATAAAAGCTTTTCAAAAAGAAATACTCAAAAGAAACTTCCTTGCTCTTATATGTTCTGTTCCGAGGAAGCAGACATTACTA